CCAAAGAAAACACGCCCCCCCCCCCTTACCAGGAAGGGCACGTTCAATCCACATCAGCATGAACTTCTTTGGCTTAAAATTAGAAGCCTCAAGAAGACGCCGATTTAAAATTACACTGTGGTAACGGGTTTTTCTATTCAGTCACCACCAGATGGAGTTAAACCCCAGCAAACAGGACCTGAAGCTCTGAGGCGGAGAGACCTTTCAAATTGAACCACTGACTTAACAATCAGGAACCTGTTTTTTTACACTCAACAGTACAAATTTTCTACAATTTTTCCAAATCAGGATTGTAGTCCAAGCCACTCATTGAGCCAATTTCCAAGTCTCTGAAAGCTGGTGAAGACAGACAAGGACTTCCAGGAACATCTCTCCAGCCTAATTTTTTTTTACAAAGGGATGAAAGATGAATCTCTTCAGTGAGATACTCTGTGTGCAACAGTTGAAGGAAATGGCAACTTCCCAGCCTTACTGCGCTCTTCACACGGAGTTCATCCCAAAGAGATGTCTGTAACGCTTGCAGCCTCCCAAAACACTTTCCTGGCTCTCCTGCAACCGCCAGTCAGGGGAGCTGGAGCCCAGCAGAGCCCGACTTTACCTCCTACTCATCCGCCTTTTGCCGAGCTGGGAAGCAGGAGGAGCCGACTACAGAACCTGTCAAACATCAGAACTGCAGCTGGCTTGCAGCCAACGCAGAAGAACACACGTTAATGTCTTTCAGGATGTTTTTGGTAGGTTTCTCCCATACTAAGGTCAAACTACACGTTTTGCTGAAGAAGTTAGGCCCTGGAGCTCTCAAGGTATGTCACACACAGATACATATTAAAAGGTTAGAAGGTTTTAGAGAAGATGAAACTTCTTTAAATTCTTTTCCAGTGATTGTAACTCTACTAGCTCTGTATCTTCCAGAAGACACACAATAAAAATAATACAATTTTTTCCCCTTTTTTTAGGCTACAACTAGGCAACTCTGGGGTGTTTTCTTCCTAATCAAATACACAACTTTTACGTTCAGTTGAGCTTTACGGGGTCTGAACATAGAAAAGCAGTTTGCTCCCTTGTGGTCTATATTCAAGGTATTGTTTATGCCAACACTGACTTGATTTTATATCCTAAAAGCAGATGGGATTGACTGCATAAAGGAGAAATTTTTCTTTTCGACAGCTTGCTCCAGTTCTGCTTTTGCAAGCTCACAGTCTCTAGTTCTTCCCTTCATTAACACCTTGAATCTGATTGCGGCTCCATCCAGGTTTCTCACAGCAAAGCTGCTGGAACATTCGTCTGTGTTTTAAGAGAACAGGCTTCAGCACATTCCCCAGTTCACACAAAAGTTAAAGCTGGCCTTAGGTGTGTTAGGCTGCTGTCTAGTCAAGCCCCACCCTTCCCTCCCCTCCCCTCCCTCTCAGAAACAGAGCAGCTCATCTGTCAGGAGGTACCACTCAGACACCAAAATAACCAACCACGTCGGGAAAATCCCTGCTGCTTTTGTATCCAGTTCCACTCTCAACCCTGGGCATGGGAAAACACGGACAACCTTGTCCGATGGCACGCTCCCGCAAAGCCTTTGCTAAGTGGTACCAGCCTCCAACCTGAAACTGCCTCTGAGCGCCAGCCTCACCTCTCTCCCCTGCCCACTTCAGCTCATCTGTGTTCAGCTCTGCAGGTAGTGTGGTCTCCTCCGCTCCAGCCTGGTTCTGCCCAACTCTGTGGTTTCACGCTTGGCTTCCTGACCACGGCCCCACCGGCACTCAGCTGAGGGCACCCCTCCACAGAACAAGTGTGCTGGCCCCCTGGCTCATGCGAGAAGCAGAAGGTCCAGAATACAGCGCCATGGAATGCTGGTCTTGGAAGAACTTGTGCTACAATGGTACCACCGCACCTCCCCACCAGTAAGGACAAGGATTTGAAACAGGAAAGGCAGGGGGAAAAAGAAAAATCAAATATTCTAGAGTAAGACTTACAAACTACTTGCCAGCTCTAGGTTTCAGTTTTTGCGGGTTCCCAAGGACGCAAATCAGAAGTGGCGTAGTCATTTTACTTCACACTGAACAGGCAGTTTATCGAAACAGAGCACTTCCCAAACGAAAAGGAAAAAACAACATCCTGAACGATGAGAAGTCAGTAGCAGAGAGGACTACTTAAGCTACTGATCAAAAAAGCACTATGATGTTGCTTATGTATTATGTTACAACAATAGTGTACTTGTACTTATATAGTATCTTAATACATTCTTTTCAAGTAACGCATTATGGTGAAGGGTAAGAAAAGCGCAGCAGGAAAAAAGTACATAAATGGTTCGGCTTCAGTGAATGTTATGAATCTTCCTCCTCATTCAGGTGCTCTGCGCAATAGCTCTGTGTCATGGACAGCTTCCCGAATGCAAACGCCAACATTTCAACTCGCTCTGACAAGATACCCACAAGTGTTTTGAACACAGATTATCACTGTTAACAACATCTGCCATCTTATCCACTTTCCCTCTTTCATTTTTATTAATTGTGTGTTTCTTAAAGCCATGTGGAATAGTACTGATTTTAGGATTCGTTATTCCTAGAGCAAGTAAAACATTGATGAGGCTATTTGGGGATACTGACAATAGCGGCAATTAAAATATAAGTCCTGGTGGACAACAAGTTGACCATGAGCCAGCAGTGAGCCCTGGTTGCCAAGAAGGCCAATGGGATCCTGGGTGCATTAAGAGGAGTGTGGCCAGCAGGTCGAGGGAGGTTCTCCTTCCCCTCTACACTGCCCTGGTGAGGCCTCATCTGGAGTACTGTGTCCAGTTCTGGGCTCCCCAGTTCAAGAAAGATGAGGAGCTACTGGAGAGAGTCCAGTGGAGGGCTATGAGGATGATGAGGGGACTGGAGCATCTCTCCTACGAGGAAAGGCTGAGGGAGCTGGGCTTGTTCAGCCTGGAGAAGAGAAGGCTGAGAGGGGACCTTAGAAATGCTTATAAATA